AGGCAGATGGCCAACTGGAAAGGCAATGGGGATGTACTTCGGGCCATCCTTGACTTGAGTCCTCGCACCTCACAGTCGTCCTCTTCCCGGCCAAACGGCGTTTAAAGGACCTTTCATGGAGCTCCTTCCTCTGTGGCGTTTCCTTCACCAGGTCCTATGTACCTGAAGATATCACGTGACGCTCATGATCCTGGAAATCCCTAGTTTTCTAATCCTAAAACATGAAACGTACTACTCTTTGTCATATTACTTCTGACACTTTTCGTTGACTTTAACGCTACTTCGATACAATGTTCTGAAAAAATAAAGTTTTTCCTTAATACTTCCAGTAAGTAGCCTTTGCTCGCTAAAACAATTATAAAGTCACATATTACAAGCCTAAGAAATGAATTATACATCGATTTCTTGCCATTCCCGTTACGCTAGCAGGAATGTTTCGAAACTGTGCCGTATGAAATAGCCATCTTTCAATATCAGCTGTTGTTTGTTTACACTTCCTACATTTCTCAAAACATTTCGAATATATTTTGGTGTCAAACATTTCCGTTTAGAGTTTGAAGCATTTATCCCACGGCTTTGATATGTCCCAGAGTGCTATGGACAGAGCCCCCGCGCCCCTGGAGCTTGTTAAAAGAGGAAATAAGGGCCTCCTGACGTCACTTGATGGGCTCGTCCTCCGCCCAAGCCAGAGTGCGAGAGAATGTCGCGACTTCAAACTCCTTCTTCCACGCTCTCCATGTGAGTAACTCTCATGTGTCAAATCTCTCTGGAGTTTCTAGGAGTGGACTTCAAGCTCACGTCGCCAAGGGAAATACGTGTCTCCATTGACAAGGTGGATATTTACAAGAGCGTCGACGAAAGGTTCAGCGAAGTAAAATTGGGTTGTTAAACTGATGCTGCTGTGTCGTTCAAAGGCGAGGTTTTGTGGGATTTGCTGTTTTGCACTTTGGTTGGTCGTGTGGCCAAGTTGGTCTCTGTGGATAGAGCCTTCGGAATATGGTGAGGCAGAGGATGAGCTGAAACCTACCAGTGATTTAAGAGAAGATTATCGTATGGTATGTTGAGGAGCAGGGAAAAGTTGAGGACGTATTACGGTAAATTCCCGCCTTATTTTGACACGCAGGAACCTGACTCTTGCCAAAAATGAATCTCTAGTTATCCAGTTACCACTGACTGCATAACAAAACACGTGAAATTTCTTCACATTTTCGTATAGACCGAGATTCTGAGATTACGGCCAAACTTGCAAGGAAAAGGTGTGTACCCCGAGAGAGCGTACGTGCGTGCGTACATGTGCGTTCGGACTTGGGAATGTGTGGTATTTTTCGTTTTTCTCTCATTATTTCAATATCTTTTCAATGGGACTGGGTGTTTTAGCAAAGATCATGACTTCGTTGTCGGAATAATCATTAAATCAGCATTAGTTTCCCCGCGCGAGTGCTAAAGGAAGAATAATATGAGTCAACGAGTATGTATGACGATGTTATAAATGAAGTAACAGTCGTGCATATTTTCCTCCAGTGAATCATTTTTTTTGTTGTTAACGTACCTTGCTTCGCATGTTGAAGTTTTTGTGTTTATCTTTTCTGAATGCGCATTTTAAGATTATGAATACATATATTGTTTTTCTTTTAAGAGCCGTCATTTTATGCGATTCGATAACAAGAGCGTAAAAGACGGGTAAAATGAAAAGAAATACTGAGCACACAGATAGATTAAGAACGCGCGTGTGCTCTCCATTTTGAAAATATTAGTGTGAAATCCTGTCCGCCACGCGACTTTTTACCTATTTCGTACAAGGAAAATACAGTATACACCTAACGAAACATTTATGTAAACAAAAACTACTTTCTTAATGCCCTTCATACGTGTGCCTTCAAACCAACGGAAGAAGACCGAATTAGATTTGTATCCACAAAAAGCATCGAACCACACGGAAACCTGATAACAAATAGAGGAAGTTTCAGTGCTGTTGTTTTCCATCCGGGTGATATTTTGTCTCCCTTTCCTTTTTCGGAAAAAAGTCCTCTCAGTTAGACTTCAAATCACACACTTGGTCTACTGGTAACGACCGCGATGCACAGTAGGAGCACCGGGACACAGAGGCGCACGCAGAAGATACTGAGCCACAAAGCACTAATAAGTTCTTTTGTCACCTTCCCCTCCCCCACCTTATCTCCCCCCGCCTTATCTCACGCCAGAGAAGTGGATATGTGTCGCGTCTTTATCTCGGTCATGTGAGTCTTGGGTCTCGCTCCCTCGCTTGTGACAGGTGTGAGAAGAATTGAACATGTGATTTTTTTTATTTTTTGCGGCTAATTAGAATAAGATGTTTTATGGAGACTGTGAATGAAAATAGTAATAAACAGTGGTATTATTTATGGGAATGATGATGTACTTAACGATAGTGGTAGCAACTGTATAAAATGATCCTCGACTATGGCAATCTGTGATAAGATATTCTGATTGATTTGATCACATGTTCGGAAGAATTTTGATAGTGCTATTTGATTACATTACAAAGATGCCGACAAATAACGACCATACAATGCTAATAATAATAATAATAATCGCAATGATAATCAGTAATTATTTTTCCCTTCCTGTTACAAACAACGAAACCCAACAGGCACATTACAGTATGTAACCGGTGCAACATCTCAACAGAATTTATGCGAATGATAAGGTGCCTCAAGCAGTGCATTCGTCCGGCTGTCACTGATATCTTGTTGCTGGGCTTGCTCCGGAGTTGACGGGGTTCTTGAGTGTGCAATTCGCCGCCCAGATTGAGAGGGTCAGGGTAGAATGTGGTGTGATAGGGAGAAACGGGGCCTTGATCACTTTATGGCATTTCGGCGTTTGTTGTTCTCGCTGGTATAGCTTGTCAACGTCGCTATTATCTTTTTTTCTTTTTTCTATTGTTGGCTTTTATCAGTTATACAATAGTGTCGTTTGATTTTGATCGTTCATCTGTTTGGCGTCTCATTTTGAGAAAATGAAGTAAAGAAGTCATGTCAGATTTTGATTTTTTTTTTTTTTTTTTTTTGGGGGGGGGGGGCTTTTTCATTCTCTCTCTCTCTCTCTCTCTCTCTCTCTCTCTCTCTCTCTCTCTCTCTCTCTCTCTCTCTCTCTCTCTCTCTCTCTCTCTCTCTCTCTCTCTCTCTCTCTCTCTCTTCTCTCTCTCCCTCTCTTCCTCTCTCTCCCTCCCCTCCTCCCCCTAATTCTCTATCGTCTCCCTCTCTCTCTCTCTCTCTCTCTCCTCTCCCTATTTCGCTAACGTCTCTCCCCTTTCCCCTTATCTCCCTCCTTCATCCATTCATCCCTGCTTCTCCCCCCGCCCTCCCCACCCTTTGCTCGTATCCTATTCTCTTGAGAAATCTATTAAAGCTCCTAGTGCACACGTCCTCTCCCGCCGGCGGATGTGGGTCTACTGAATGACGAAACTTTGGCGCTTCTATTTTAAACTCATGTTATCGTAAGTGATACGGTCATTGGGTATTACTGCTATTGATGTCTTCATTTAATCAGTACTGCTGTTGATGTTGGATATTGTATAGCATCTTCTTTTTTTTAGTTATTGCCATTATCAGTTTTGTTATTGTTTACGGTTATTATTGTTAGTTATTCATGGTTTTTATTTTTGTGTTATTGACTTAGAGTGTTTATATTATTCAAGCAAAAATAGCGTAAATACAGAGTCATATACGATACGTAGAGATCCCCTTTATAAACCCTCTCTTGAGGTTTAATCGAGGTTTTATCGAGGTTTCAAGCGATTGCCGCCAAAAATAACCGTCTCAAGCGATCGCCGAGGCCTTCGTCCCATCGGCGCTCCAACAAAGGTCAGCAACCTTGACAGCGTTAACTCCTCGCAATATAAAGTTTGTGTTGCTCCTTTTATAGAGCACTGAAGGCTCTATCTTGCCTGTATATTCATGAGGTTCGTTGGTCTTCTCGGGAGCGCCAGGTCCAGTGGTGCTATGCTAATTATATCAAATGCCATGGCTATTTAGTTTCAATCGATGTTGAGAATAATTTTGTTGTCTACGCGGACTCGCTTCCGAATAAATGCTGTTATTTTATTATCATTAGAATTGTTGTTATGATGTTCCTGTTATTGTTATTTCATAAAGGATATTATTTTCTTTTTCGTAATTTTTATTATGGGTTTTATTGGCACTATTATTGTTTTTGTTATTTTTATTATTGTCATTATTATTATTGTTATTATTGTAAGTAGTAGTAATGGGATTGTTGTTGTTATTATTATTATTATTATTATTATTATTATTATTATTATATATTATTATTTCTATTATTATAGCTATAACTGCTGCTGCTGTGCTATTATTAGCAGTAGTAGCAGTACTATTGCACTAGTTATTTTTATTACATTTAATGTTATTTCAGTTATCGTTACTGTTTTATTGTCATTATTGATGTGTTTGTTATTATTATTTTATCACTATTATTGTTATTATTATGATGATGATCATCATCCTTGTATCATTATTATTATATTACTGCTGCTACTATCATTTAAGTCTTTATTCTCTCTCTCTCTCTCTCTCTCTCTCTCTCTCTCTCTCTCTCTCTCTCTCTCTCTCTCTCTCTCTCTCTCTCTCTCTCTCTCTCTCTCTCTCCTTTTTCACATTTTTCCCTCCTCCTACAACTCATTAACTTCCCTCTTTTCCTTCTCTCCTTCCCATTTTCGTCTCCTCCTCCCTTTATCTCGCCTTTCCCCCCTCCTCCCTCCTTCACTCCTCTCCCTCCCGCTTTCCCTCCCTCCTCCATATATCTCTCCTTCCTTCTTTTCTCCCTTTATCCCTGCTCCTTTTTTCTCTCTCTCCCTTTATCTGCCCCTTCCTTCCTTCTCTCCCTTTATCTCTGCTCCTTTTATCTATCTCCCTTTATCTGCTCCTTCCTTCCTTCCTTTCTTCCTTTCCCACATATTAAATTCTTGCTTCGACGAGAAATAAATAATAAATAAATATATAATGATAATATAGAACGCGAGGAAAGTGATAAGAAAAACGTATGTAATAGGTATATGCAATAACAATTGGTTCGATTTAAAAAAGAAATAATAGAAAGAAAGAAAGAAAAAGATATTTATAGATAAATAAAAACTCGGAGATACCAATAAAATGATGAAAAAAAAAAAAAAAACGGAAAATTCCCCCAATTAAAGAAAATGAAAATATCCACATTTTTTTCGTCAGCTTTGAATGCCACCACGTTTCGGATGCGCCAGTTGCTGAAGACCTTCTCAGGTGGAAATGTTCGGGATTTTCTTTTTTCGTTTTTCATTTCAAAAATGATGTTTTGTTTTCTCTCTCTATCTTTCTTTCTTTCTTTCTCTTCCGTCTTCTTCTCTCTTTTCTCTTTATTTCCGTCTTAATCTCTCTCTCTCTTTTTCTTTTCGTCTTCTCTCTCTCTCTCTGTCTCTCTTTCTCTTTCCGTATTTATATCTCTCTTTCTCTTTCTCTTTCCGTCTTTCTGTCTTCTCTCCCCCGTTTCGTCGTCGTCTCTCTCTCTTTCTCTTTTCTCTTTCTCTTTTTCTCTTTTCGTCTCTCTATCTCTCTTTCCTCTTCCTTGTCCGTCGTCTCTCTCTTCACCCACTCTCTACCCCCCTCTCTTTATCTATCTATCTCTTGCTCTCTTTCGCTTTCTCTTTCTCACATTCCCTCTCGTCCTCCCCCCTCCCTCCCCTCTTCTCTCATTCTCTCTCCCTCCCCCCCCACTCTCTCTCTCTCTCTCTTTCTCTCTCTCCTCTCCCCCCTCCCTCTCTCTCCCCCCTCCCCCTGTCTCTCTCTCTCCTCCCCCCGCCCCCTCTCTCTCTCTCTCTCTCTCTCTCTCTCTCTCTCTCTCTCTCTCTCTCTCTCTCTCTCTCTCTCTCTCTCTCTCTCATCTCTCTCTCTCTCGTCCGACCCAAGAATGCCGCTCCAGGATCGGTTTTTTTTTTTTTTCCGGGTCGAGCTGCAGGGTTTTGCCACCGCCAAATCGGAGGGTCTGATCAGTTTTCTCGCTCGTGAAGTTGGGCGTTCTTACCATTTGGGGTCGTGATGGAAAAAAAGGAAGTTTGTTGCCTCCTTTGATTGATTCGTATGTCGGATTTTATTTCCTTGATTTGTGTGAAATGGATAGGGTCAAGGAGGTGAGAGTTGATGCATGCGTGTGTGTTGTTATGTATGTGTGTGTGTGTGTTGTGTGTGTGTGTGTGTGTGTGTGTGTGCGTATGCATACATAGTTAATTACGTGTGCAGATTTATGTGTGTGTATATATATATATATAATATTATATATATTATATATATTATATATTTGGTGTGTGTGTGTGTGTGTGTGTGTGTGTGTGTGTGTGTATCATATTCCGTATCCGTGTGGTATTGCATATTCGTGTGAGGTGTGTGTATGTGTGTGCATCATATAAAAGACTTTATAGTCCGAAGTGAGAGTTGCATCAGAAAAACAGTAGAGATACAAAGTGGCTGGCTATATTTTCCTTCTCCGCCTCCCCCCCCCCCCCCACTTTTTTTTTAGCCATGGCGATTTAACACATGTCAGGTTTATATTTAGTTTCTATTCGCTGCCATATGTTGTTGTTTTTCCACCTTTCTTTCTCTTTGCTTTCGTTTCGTCGTGGTGTGTTAAATATGATACGTTATGAGACGTTTTGATAATAAATCTCTATTTATCTGTCTCTCTCTTTCTCTGTCTGACTATCTTACTTCTCATCTCTCTCATCTTCTCCTTCTCTCTGCTCTCTCTCTCTCTTTCTCTACCGTCTCTCTCATCTCTCAATCCTCATCTCTCTCTCTCTCTCTCTCTCTCTCTCCTCCTCTCTCTCTCCTCTCTCACTCCTCTCTGCTCGATCTCTCCCTCTTCTCTCTCTCTCTCTCTCTCTCAATCTATGGTTTAGGATAGGTATGTAAAAACAGACATGGGCACACACATGGAAAGAGGAAGGAGTGTAATAGAGTGAGAGAGAGAGAGACCGAGCGAGAAAGAGCGAGAGATCATGCGAGAAAGAGAAAGAGCGAGATAGAGATAGCGAGCGAGATAGAGAGAGAACGAGCGAGAAAGGGAGAAACCGAGCGAGAAGAGAGGAAAACCGAGCAGAGAGACAGAGAGAGAGATAGAGATAAACAGAGAGAAAAGCGAGCGAGTGAAGAGAGAGAAAGAGAGACCGAGCGAGCGAGAAAGAGAGAGAGAGAGAACGAGCGAGAAAGAACGAGAAACAGCGAGAAAGAGAGAGAGAGAGAGAGAGCGAGCGAGCGAAATCGGTTCCCACTAACAAACAGGTCAAAGCCCCACGGCCCGAGGTGTCAAACCAACCCTAAAGATATAAAACTGCTCTGCTAAGAATTTCCCAGAGTATGAAAAAAAAAAACACTAGACCGTAAATTTCATGAACCGGAAAAAAACGCAAAACTCATTACAGTTTATAACTACTTCAAAATATACGGGTAAATACACAGGATAAAGTGTAGAAACCGA